GATCCGATCGCAGTGTGCACCCCTGGACCTCAACCGCAAGGATCCGATCGCAGTGTGCACCGCTGGACCTCTACCGCAAGGATCCGATCGCAGTGTGCACCGCTGGACCTCAACCAGATAGTTTGCCAGATAAAACGCCAGATAGAATGCCAGGTAGATTGCCAGATAGAATGCTGCAAGAAGATATGCCAGATAGTATGCCAAATAGTGTGTCAGAATAGATTGCTAGATACATTGCCAGATAGAATGCCAGAAAATATGCCAGATAGAATGCCAGATAAAATGCCAGATAGAATGCCAGATAAAATGACAGATAGTATGCCAGACAAACTGCCAGATAGTATGCCAGACCGTATGCCAGATAGTATGTCAGATAGATTGCCAGATAAACACAACCACAAACGCACAACTACAAACACAACCACAAACACAACCACAAACACACACAACTACAAACACAACCACAAACACACAACCACAAACACAACCACAAACACACAACCACAACACACAAACACAAACACAACCACAAACACACAACCACAAACACACAACCGCAAACACGCAACCACAACAACACGACCACAAGGACACAACCACAAACGTACAGCCACAAGCACAACCGCAAACACATCCCCAAACACACAATCACAAACACACAGCCACGAACACGCAATCACAAACACAACCACAACCACAACACAGCACACAACCACAACGCAGCACACAACCCGAGGACCCACAAGCAAAATCGAGAACTACAATACTCACGACCATGGCAACATGCTCCTCACTATGGCATCAAGTCAAATGATTGAAATGTCATGGTGGGGATCACTCGAAGTAAAGTAATTTTTGATATGAATTAATGTTGTTTGATAGGAATCAATTTTTCCCGAGAGCGTCTGCGAAGGGTTCTTCGAAAAAAGCATCTGCAAAACTACACCTCCTCTACATCTTCACATCTTCACCTCTACACATCCACATTCTCACCTGTATCTCTGCTCATCTTCACATCTACATTCACAACTGCACATCTACATCTCTGCTCATCTTCACATCCTCAC